TTCTTCCTGCATAAAGAGATACAAACAAAATAATGTAAATCGGTCCAAACATGGTGCTAAGCTATCCATACTTTATGGGACTCATGCAAGGGTTCAATCCTGTATTATTTGATCTCAAGAACACATTAGAATGGTTAGTTTACATCATAGCATTGTAAAAATCAAAAATCAAAAATCACAAAAAGTATGGAAATCGATGATGCATGGATGCGTGTTTCAGGCAATTTTGATCCTCAAGCATGATCAAGACTTACTCTGCAATGTCTCAGGGATTGATTTGAATGGTTGGTTTGCTTTGAGAAGGGCTGGAAACGATTTTCAAGTTTGCCCTAGTTTGACAAAATTTGAGGTTTTTGGAAAGGGTTCTTGAGGCAAGTTTTTGGTGTCTTTATTGTCTGAATGTGAAGAGTATTTATAAGAGGATTATATTAGGTCAAAGGTGGGCTTAGATTTCTTGTAAAATAACCTTTGATTCTTGTTTGAAAATAGAATTATAATAATACAAAACATGAAGATTTGTTTTGAAAATAACCCCACACGGTTTGCAGCATATCTTTGGGCCTCCACAATATCTGAAACAAAAGCCTTTTAAGCCCTGCACCCCCATTTGATACTTATTTGATTTAATTTGAATTTAAATTAATAAAAATCAAAATAAACGAAATAAAAAATAAAAGGATGTATGAATAAATTTAGAGGTCCATTATGAGGTCAAGAACACGTTTGGACTCTAAAAGATAAGCCCATTAACCCAAAAATTCAAGTTTGCTCAATTTGGGTTTCATGCATTTTCTCAAAATTTCCCAACTTACACAAATCATAACTCTCTCAATTTTTGTCATATGAAGGAGATCTTGGAATTTTTGAAAATCTCAAGATGTCCCATACAATCTTTATGTTGGCCATTTTTTCATTTGAATACTTTATCTTGATGTAAATTGCTTTGACAAAAAGTGTCTTTTTGTTGACTTTTGAATTGACCTATAATGTTTTGGCTCATATCTCTCAAATGAAGCATTGTTGGCCTTGAGCTTAGAGAGACAAAGTTGTAGATAATTGAATTTCCTTCAAAATGAGCTTTGGTTAAGAAATATATGATGAAGTATGTGAAAATTATGCTTGGTCAAAGTTCAATTGACTTCTCCTTAAGAAAACCCTAATTTGATAACTTTTGACTTTTGATGAATCTTGAGTTTTCTTGATGAATCATAATCAACCTTTGACCAAATGATGAATGTGACTTCAAAATGTTGATGTTGATCAAAAATCTTGAAGTTTGACTGTTAATTGCTCAAAGTTGACTTTTTGCCCAATATAATTAATTTTCAATCATCTGACTAATTGACTGAGCAAACTTGTGATGCAAGGCTTGGAATTTGGTATAAGGATTCTTTGAGACATATGAGAAATCATGAAATCCACTTGAGGCATTAGAAGTCCAGTTTCCTTTCAGAAAAGTGAAACCCTAGTTGTAGGTCAACTACTTAGGACGAGAGTTTGTCTGGTCAACCTTGAGTATTCTTGAGCAATTGAGAACCCTAGGAGCATGGGGAGACCTATTGAGATTATTTTATATTGAATAATGGGAGGATAAATTTTGGGATACAACACTACTTCATAAGCAAAAAAAAAATTATTCTACTAAAATGAACTGGCATACTTATATTTTCATATTTTTTTCATTACACTTTTATCTACCCAAATAATAGTAATGCTTTTTCATTATTATTTATTTTATATGCTAACCAACCATTTCATAAAATTCATATTTAATTTTTTAAATAAACTATTCAAATATATCTTTTACTCTATTTATTGTTTTTTATGTTGTATAAAATTGGTATTTAACACTTCGTTTTTTTATATCTATATTTATCATTGATTTTACGTGAATAACATTTCAATTTAAAAATAAATACTAAATATGTGTGGTATCCGTGCAGACGCACGGGTATCTTACTAGTTAAAACAAAAATAAAATCCTAAATAATGTGGTGCATTGGATGGATCTGACTAATGGAAAGTAATTATATCACTCGGTCAACATTCTAGTGCATGATTTTTTTTAATCTAACACGTCATATCAAATTTTAAAATAAAATGAAAATAAAAAGATCAGAAAAAGCAGGATATGTTTGATCAAGTCTCGTTAATTGATGTGGCTGATCAAACAGATCAAAAGCGCGCAAGCACAATACACACAAGTCAAAGCGCAACACAAGATATGTTGACTTTTGAAAATATTGAAAGAAAATCATGGCATCATCTAATTGGTTGGAGATGACACCTAGGTCATCTTAAATCTCTGGCCACTTCCAGTTTTTAGAATTATCGTGAAAAATTTATGAAAACCTCAGGGATCAAGACGAGTATCAATGGATTCGTCTTCTCCTCTTCTTTCCAACCATGTATTCCACTTGAATTTACTCAAAGTGTGAAGTGAGATTTTTGAAAGAAATTAGACGTGCATCAAACTTAAAACCTTAATGAAATGCTCAATTCACCACCATTTCTAAAAGTAGAAGAAGCATGAGCTTCAGGGAAGAGAGGAGTACATATTGGTGAAGAGAAATTTGAGAAAAGGTGAAAGAATCTACTTGTTGAAATTCACTCTTGAAGCTCTGAAAATCAACTTGGATAGGACAAATTAGACTTTCTCAATGATTTCAAATGATTGGAATTTCTTCAGGGAAGATTAGAGAAGTTGATTGATCCACGAAAAAAGGTTGAAATGAGCTTTAAATGTGAAACTGATCTGAGGAAAAAAGAACTTTGAGAGAGAGTTTGGTCGGGTGATTTTGACTCTTCAAGCTTGTGTAAATGTGTGAGGGAGGGTACTTATTTATAGGTTAAGTGAGTGGCGATGAGAATTGGAGGAATTTGTGTAAGAATCATGCAAAGGAAGTTGATCTGATTATGTGTGAAAAGTGTGACTTGCACATGGCCAAAATGCAGCTAACCCTTGCACTTTAATGCTTAAACACCTTCTGGAAACTTGTTAGAAGCAATTAGAGTTAAAAACGCGTGCTAATTTGGTTTAGAAATGAGATTACAAGTTGATCAAATCTGAACTCGAGTCAAAATTTCAAATCCATGAAGCTTTATTCAAAAATATGGGGCACACAATGTAAGGACCTTTTTGCGATGATTTTTTTTTGCATTGGAAAGACAATATCACAAACTTCACAATATGCAAAGAAAGATTTAATTTGGAAACTTGAGAAAAGAGTTATGTGTCTTTGAAATTGGGGAAAACTCACTGAATTTTAGACTTAGAAAATTTCTAAGTATAGAACCTCAAAGTGACCTATAATCTTTTGCAAAATTTTACGACCTTCCACTCAAAATTAACTTAAGGTCCTTGAAGATGAAATGAATTACACTCCTTAAAGAGAAATGTGGTATTGATATCATCCAACAATATTAAAAATTTAAGAAGTTATGGCCTTTGGAAGTTGGTAAACAACACTTGAAAATCCCATGGATGACCTATAATCTTTTCAACACTTAAATGACCTTCCACTCAAAACAGGCCTTAGGTCCTTGAAGAGAAGTTGGAAAGGACTCCTTGAAGAGGAATGTGGTTTTGGGATCATCTAAAAATCTAAAAAATTGAGCAGGTTATGACCTTGAGAAGTCAAGTAAAAAATTCCATTAGTTTCTTAAAGGAATTATAATATTTTCAATCTTTGGATGATTCTCCAAGCATAATTGGCTCTTGTATATAAAGAGAAATTGTTGTAGATGATGAGAAGAGTTCATTGAAAATTGGTAGAGTTCTGCACTTGTGACCATAGAACCAATGGCATGCCAAATTAGGTCAACCAATCTTGAATAAACTTTGAGTATTTTGAACTTTACTTGCAAACTAAGACATAATGAAGCTCATAAGACCTTGAAATGATGTTATCTTGAAACACACATGATGATGAGGCTCATGGCTTGGTAACACTTGTTGAAGAAGACATGAAAATAAACACATGACATATGAAAGTTTTTGATAAATCAAACCACTAACTTTGAGATAAAGTTGACCTCATGAAGTTGAGAGGGTTCTCAAACCATGGAAATTTGATGCTAGAAGCATAACTTTGAAGTTCAAGTCTTTAAAGTTCAATGAATAATCAGTTTACTGAGGATCAATCTTCAAAACCCTAGCTTAGGAGGTGAGATAGATGCACTTGACTCAACACCTACAATGTACAAAGTGTGAAGAGAAACAAGAAATATCTTTTTGGATTTAAAGGTTAGTAAACATGAGACACATATACAAGATACACAATTTAAAATGTTTGGTGATCCCTCAAGGACAAACTTCAAAAGAGAAGAAAGTATAAGTGATAACCAACTCAAATGTGTGATCTTAATGTATTGTGAGAATACAGAAAGTTGGAAGATCTTAAAAGCAAAAATTAAAATATAACAACAATTAAAATTATTTTATATTATCTGTATATTTTTTTTCTCATTTTATTTACATACTTGACTTAAAATATAAATAAAATTCAATGAGTAAAAACTTACAAAGATTAACATATTTTTAACTTTAAAAACGGAGACCACATAAACGATCCAACAAAGTGGAAGATTGATTAATCTACACAACAAATCCTAAAAGGTTGCATCCTACCTCATAATATGAACTAAGAAAAAAAGTTGTAGAAAAAGAAAAGAGATCCAAAGGCTCCCAATAACTCAGTTAATAAAGTGCTGTGCATGAAAAAAGAATCATACGTACCTAAACTAACATTAACTTTTGTTTCCTTGAAATAAATACAGAAAGCTCAAGGTGACGAAATATCAAAAACGTAATCGGAACTTTTGTGCTAAGAAATAGTAACAAGTTTAAAAAGGAAGCTCAAGGTGACGATGTACCTTTTGGGGTCGGGTCAGGGTGACGATATTCCTTCTTCGAAGAAAGTAGTAATGCTCATCAAGGGGGTTATATATATTGAAGCTTGCATTGAGCTCATCACATCAAAGGTTGAGTTTGAAGAGTAATGGCTGAAGCTTCAAATACATCAAGGTTTACTTCAACAAGGTACTTAAATCACTTCAATTCTTTACTTATAAGTAGGTTTTTCATGTTATGGTTTCAATGAGAAAATCAAACAAAATCAAAATAAAGTATAATATGAATTCAGCTAAATTGAATCGAATTATTTTAATTTATTCAAAACCGAATCAAACCACAATTATTAATTTGATATTCTGCATTGAAATTCTGAACAGTTAGAAGTTAATATTTAAAAAAAATTAATCATTTATTAAATAATCGAACTGTTAAATTATTTTTAATTTTAGAAAAATAATTTAAAATTTATTTTTTACTATTTTATATTTTCAGTCTCTATTCGGTTTGGTCGATTTCAATTTAAATTATGTTTCAAAATTGTTTGTGCTATATATACTTTGGTTCAATAACCAAAACGTAAGACTTTGATCATTTTAACCTTGATTCAGTTCAGGGATTTGATTCGGTTCATAATTTTTTTGAACAATCCTACTCATTAGTTACTGCTAAAAGTTGGAAAATCATTTGCATGCATGTCTAACATTTCATCTTTTTTTATAATTAAAATTCAACCTCTTGTAGCTTGAAAGAAGTTGGAAAATTGCTTGGCCAATATTTTGGGCTATTGTTTGCAATAATCGCATTTGTATCAATCAATACAAGCAAGGAAAAGTCTCTACTTTTAATGGCTTTGGCTTTCATGGTTACTCTTTACTATACAGTTTTGGTACTTGTCAAAGTGTTGCAGCTTCACGTTCCATTAATGATATTGGTTAATCTTTTACTTGGAGCTCTTGTTTCACTTTTAGCTTTGATGATTATTTCTCCTATAATTGCTTGGACTTATTTGGGCTTGTGGATTTTCTTCATCTTTGGTTTGGTGTGCTATAAAAATGGAAAAGAGATCTATCTAATGATTCCAACAAGGATAAAAAGTTGTATTCAAAGTCAACTTGACAAACACATTAATATTCACAATTTGGAGTTACATGGAGTTGAGTCACTTCCTGTCTAGAACAAACAATTGATGAGGCGGGTTACGTGAATTTCATATAAATTTAGTAGAATCAAGTAAATTTTAATTAAATAATAAAAATATGTTACTAGTTTTTCGTAATTGTAGTTGTGTGGCTTGTTATATAATTTGTATGTTGAATTTTTATTTTTAGTTTGTTGTTATAAATTAGTTTCTGTCTTTTGAGATGTTGTTGTAAGATGTAAAATGTATTAAAGGGGTAATTTAGTATTTGTTATATTTTGAATATTCTCTTTTAGGGTTTATGTGACATTTTTATATTTATCTTCTTTGTATTAAATAGCTGTACTAGGTTTTATTAATTACAACAATCTCTTTTCAATTATTTGTAGTAGCTTTTATCATTAATCATTTTCTCCCTTCTTCCTCAATTTCATCACCTTACACCAACAAAATTGGTATCTAGAGTACTTGGTTCTTCTGAAATTCTAAAAAACACGAGTGAAAAGTGAGCTGTGTGTTTGATTTCTGTTGAATCTTCAACAAAATCTGAACAGAATCACACTGATTTTGTGGGTTTGAGAAACACTGAGTGAGATCTGAAACCTGAGATTTTTGCAAGATTTAAGATGAGCGGAGATAGTATTTTGAACACTAAACTTCCAGTTTTTGATGGCAAAAGTTAGAACAGATGGATGATACAGATGCGTGTGTTGTTTGGTGCTCAGGATGTTTTGAATCTTGTTACCAATGGTTATGTTCCAGTTGCAGTAGATGCTACTGAAGAACAAAGATCTGCAGAAAGAGCTACGAGGAAGAGGGATCAGAAAGCTCTGTTCTATATCCATCAGTGTGTGGATGAATGTGTATTTGAGAAGATTGTTGATTCGATGACGTCGAAAGAAGCATGGGATATACTGGTAAGATGTTACGGTGGTGACACGTCAGTGAAGAAGGTGAAGCTTCAGTCTCTGCAAAAGCAATATGAGAATCTCAACAAGAACAACAGTGAGAAAGTTTCAGAGTACATCTCCAGAATGATTCTAATCACCAATGAGATGAAAGCTTGTGGAGAAACACTTTCTGAACAGGTAATCATAGAGAAGAATTGGAGGTCACTTACTCTTCAGTTTGATTACATTGTTGTTTCTATTGAACATTCTAAAAATCTGGAAACCATGAGAATAGAAGAGTTGCAAAGCAGTTTAGAAGCACAAGAGTTGCGTATGACTGAAAGAACTTCTGAGAGGGAAGTTGAGCAAGCTCTGAAGGCTTCTTTTTTCAAGAAGGACCAGAAGTAGAATAGACATGGCGGTAAATTCCAGAAGTCAGAAACCTCAACTTATGATGAAAAGAAATATCAGAAGGGAAAGGAAAGGTATGACAAGAAGAAGGTTCAATGTTACTGTTGTAAACAGTTTGGCCATTTTGCAAAAGATTGTAGAAATAGAGGAAGGAAATCAGAAGAAGCAAATATAGTCATAGGAGATTTTGATGATGAACTCGTGCTACTGATGGCTTCTGATTCTAATGGAAAGTGTTCAGAAGATTGGTGGTATATGGACACTGGTTGTTCAAACCACTTGATTGAGAATAAACAATGGCTTATAGACTTTGATTCCATAAGGAGAACAAAGATCAGATGTGCTGATGATAAGTATCTTAATGCAGAAGGTAAGGGAAATGTTAGAGTCAGAGTGAAGAATGGAAAAAACATTTTGATCAAAGATGTTTGGTATGTTCCTGGAATTAAAAGCAATCTGATGAGTATGGATCAGCTCATTGAGAAAGGGTTCTCATTTGTTATGAAGGACAACCTCTTGACATTATATGATTCCAATCAGAAGTTGACTATGAAGTCTGAGCAGGGAAGCAACAAAACATTCAAGGTGAATGTAGAAACAACAGAAGCAGAGTGTCTTAGTGCAGAAGGCGCTGAAGGTGACAGTAAGCTGTGGCACAAGAGGTTGGGGCACTTGAACTATAGAAGCTTAGGGCATCTAAGTTCTAAGAAGCTTGTACATGGAATTTAGAAGATTGTGAAGCCTCATAAGTCATGTGAGATGTGAATTAAAGGTAAGCAACCCATATTTCCATTTGCATCAGAAGTATCCCCCAGAGCGAAGCATGCTTTGGAAGTAGTACATTCTGATGTGTGTGGACTATTTCCAGTACCTTCACTTGGAGGAAACAAATATTTTGTGTCTTTTTTGGATGAGTTCACAAGAATGACATGGGTAACACTCATCAAGTTCAAGCATGAAGTGTTTACTGAGTTCCATAAGTTTAAGGTGAAGGCTGAGAAGTAGAGCAGTCAGAAGTTAAAGATTCTGAGAACGGATGGTGGAGGTGAATATAACTCTACAGAGTTCCAGAAGTTCTGTGAGGAGAATGAAATAGAACATGAGGTTACTGCTCCATATACTCCTTAGCATAATGGTCTTGCTGAAAGAAGAAACTGAACTTTTCTTGATATGACCAGAAGTATGCTGAAAGAGAAGAAGCTATCTCACATGTTATGGGGAGAAATTGTTTCCACATCAACATATGTTCTGAATATGTGTCCAACGAAGAAGCTGAAGGAAATTGTTCCTTTAGAAAAGTGGACTGGAGATAAGCAAATGGTTAGCCATCTGAGGATGTTTGGTTCTGTATGCTACAAACACGTTCCAGAAGCTAGAAGACGGAAACTGGATGATAGAAGAAAAGTAATGTTACTGATGGGGTACCATAGTACAGGTGCCTATAAGCTTTATTGTACATAAACCAAAAAAGTTGAAATCAACAAGGACGTTATTGTGAAAGAGTCAGAAACATGGGATTAGAACAAGCCTCAATCAGATTTTGGTGTAACGCCAACACTAGAGTTAGTTTCTGAAGACGAGTCAGAGTCAGAAGATGAATCTAATTCTGAAGACTTCGAAGATGAATCAAAATCTCAGGGAGATTCTGATAGTGGATCTGATTCTGATCTAGATTCTGATCTAGATTCTGATGATGATCCAGAATCTGGTGGTGATTATATTTTTGGAAGGGAAAACTCTAAAGACATAGGGTCTGGAGGACAAGCTTCCAGAAGTAACTCTGAAGGTGGTAATTCTGAAGTAAGTAGTTCTGGACAAGGTCCGGAAGCTAGCATTGTTCCAAGTTCTGGAGAAGTTTAGAACAAGTCCAGAAGCCACAAATAATCAGACAAATACCAAGTAGGTTTGCATATTTTAGCATGTTACATGATACTGAAGTAGATTCTGAAGGAGAAGTCGTTCAGTGTGCCATGTTAATATGTTCTGAACCAGTGGGTATTAAAGAAGCTCTCAAGAAGAAAGTATGGTTGAATTCCATGAAGGAAGAACTTAAGGCTATTGAAAGAAACAAAACTTGGAAGTTAACAATGCTTCCAGAAAAGAAGAAAGCCATCAACGTCAGATGGGTTTTCAAGGTGAAGCTTCAGCCAAATGGATCAATTGGAAAACACAAAACGAGACTAGTGGCTAGAGGTTTTCTTCAGAAATCTGGGCTAGATTACTTTGAGGTGTTTGCGCCTGTAGCTAGACATGAAACAATCAGACTGGTGATTGCTTTAGCTGCAAACAGAAATTAGCCTTTGATACATCTGGATGTGAAGTCTGCATTTCTGAATGGTCTGTTACAAGAAGAGGTATATGTGTCAAAATCTCCTGGATTTGTGAAAAAGAATCAGGAAGAGATGGTATACAAGTTACATAAAGCCTTGTATGGACTGAAAAAAGCGCCCAGAGCTTAGAATCTGAAAATCCTTTTTCAAGAGGCAGAAGTTTCAGAAATGTGAGATGGAATATGGCGTGTATGTGCAACATTCTGGTGTGTCTATATGTTGATGGCATATTGCTAACAAGAAGTTATCCAAAAGATATAATCAAGTTCAAAGAAGTTCTGATGAATGAATTTGAGATGATAGATCTGGGAAATATGGTATATTTTCTAAGAATGGAGATTCTAAACTCAAAGAAGGGTATCATTCTACATCAGCTGAAGTATGAACTTGAACTTCTGAAGAGATTTAAGCTGCAGAATTGTAAAGTTGTTGTAACACCATCAGAAACCAATCGTAAATTGGATTTTGATTCTGATGGTGATTCTGTGAATGCTACGACCTTCAAGTAGTTGGTTGGTTCTCTCAGGTACTTGTGCAATACCAGACCTGACATTTGCTATGCAGTTGGAATGGTTAGAAGATTCATGAGTAATCCAAAGTGGTCTCATTGCCAAGATGCCATCAGGATTCTGAGGTATATCAAGGGAACTCTGAAATATGGAGTGCAATTTCCTTATGGAAGAAAGACAGAACCAAAATTAGTGAGTTATTCTAATTCTGACTGGTGTGGAGATAGAGTTGACAGAAGAAGTACTTTTGGTTACTTGTTCAAATTTCTGGGAGGTCCTATTTCTTGGAGTTCCAAGAAACATTATGTTATGGCTCTATCAATGTGTGAAGCTGAATACATTGTAGGTGTTGTAGCTGCATGTCAAGATGTTTGGCTTCTGAATCTTTTGGAAGATTTGAAGATTGAGATAGAGAAACCTCTAAAGCTGTTGATTGATAACAAGTCTGTAATCAATATTTCCAAGAATCCAGTGTTGTATGGAAGAAGCAAGCATATTGAGACGAAGTATCATTTTCTGAGAAGTCAAGTGCAGAAAGTAGTGTTAGAAGTTCTGCACTGTAGCACCCAGAAGCAGTTGGCAGATGTTCTGATGAAGGCAATAAAAACAGACCAATTTCTTCATTTGAGGAATGAAATTGGTGTTGTTAATTTCTGATAGATACTAAATTATGGGATGGTATTAAAGGGGTAATTTAATATTTGCTATATTAGGAACATTCTCTTTTTGGGCATGTGGCATTCTTATCTTTACCATTTTTGTGTATAAATAGGTGTACTAGGTTTCATTAATTACAACAATCCCTTTTCAATCATTTGCAGCAACTTTTATCATTAATCATTTTCTCTCTTCTTCCTTTATTTCACCACCTTGCACCAACAAAATGCTCATTTAAA